TAAATGGGTATTTAAGTGAAACCACCGAAAGGAGAATGCTCAGCTTCCATACATGTTTGGCCTAAAGACCAATAATCATGAAAAATTGTTTCCTAGATTCGAAATTATATATAAATTACTGTAAAAACGAATATTATTGACGGACACCCCTGAGAACTTCTATAAACCATATACACTGAACATATTATAATAATAAAAAACAAATAAGTTATATAGTAAACTAGGGAAATCAAGCCAAGTACCGAAATTATGGATTAGATTCAGGTATATATAGCATGTAGATTAACAGATAGTTGCCTGTTTTTAAAGTTAATGCATAAGAGTAACTTTTAAAATCAGGTGACATTTCCGGTTAAAATAAGGTACTCTGTGACAGAAACTGTGTGATGTTTGTGAATGAGCCACAGATTAGAGAGAATTTTTAAACTCTCGTTAACCAAAGAAAGCTAAGAGATTTAGGTTCTATAGCCAATTCAGTAGCTTCATTATTTTTGTTATGTTTTTAAGATAACCATATTTTAGATTTTTAGTGTATCACACCTTATAATTTTATTTATTTAATTTATAGTCATGGAACGTAGGCCCATAGATAGATACCTTAAAGTCTAACATATATACAGATTATAATGTGTTTATGGAGGTGTTTGGCGAAAAATGTATGGCAATAGAATTTATGATGTCGCCTACCATCTAAAATAATTGTCTGAGCACATTTGCATCTAGTGAAAATGATAATATAGTTGTGGATATTAATACCACAGTGTAATAAAAAAATGATTTATTTTGTCGATCTTTACAAAATAGATTTGTTTTTATGTTATACAACTTCGATCAGTCTTTGGCTGAATGTTACTATACCCATAGCCATTTAAAATGATTCGCATGTTTTCCAAACCGGTAAAATTAAAAGTCCTTTTTAAAGTAAATATATTAAACAAGGGTGTCCGTTGAAATCTAATGACTGTAAATTAAATTATAAATTACGCCAAGAATTACCGTGTATGTCAATATTTTTTGTGCATTTGGGCCAATTTGAGCAATCTCCTTTTAAATATTTCTTATCCTTTACTTAAAGTAAAATTAACGATATTTGTAGACAGTGCCAGCTAACCCAAGTACCTAGTAGGTTATTATAAGTAAAGAATAAGAATTATTTCTAAAATTTTTGGTGATTTCATTTTATGAAATCAGCTTTAATTTTTTTTCTGCAATACAGCGAGTAACAACGTATTGTGCATGGAGGGCGACCCACTTGTTTTATTTCCTCTGTAAATATTTCAACTCTTAGCAGCCACCGTTATATGAGATGAAATATGTGTACTTAGTCGGACGATATTTTCTCGTGTAAGATAAACATTATATTGCATCATTATACAACTTTCAACGGACAGGTTTACATAAACCATATGATGGGCTGGTAACCTATCGCTAGTTAATTGTTTCTGGGCATCTTCGTAAACCCAGCCAAATTATTCCCCACGGATGCTTACTACGATCGACCAAAATACCAAATCAGTTCTCAATCAGAACTGATTAGGTTCTGCTTTGATTTCATATTACGGCCACCCAAAACCAAAACGAACGAAAGGGAATGAACGGAATGAATGATAGTCACAGATAAAGTTGATAAAAGTCTGCTATTAAATCATAGATATACATGTATGTGTATTGAATAGTTTTTTTTATTTATTCTAACCATGGATACTAGTTCTTCAGTAGCACATATTTATTACAAAACTCCAAAAAATGTCATGAAACCATAAACCTAAAATGTTTTTTTCACAATTGTTCGGAAAACTCATAATTATATGACTTACTTATTATATCTACTATGATATTTTTAAATTTTACGAATTCAAAAATTGTACACCTTCAACATTTTTTCAACAGTATTTTTGGAGTTTACTCCTTAAGAATCGATTTGCATATATAAGGGGCCCGGTATGAGAAAATTGTGAGCAGTAAAATCTACTGAACAAATGACCTCGTTACGTTTTTGTGCGCAACCTCATCTGCGCACCTTTCACTTTTAGCCATGGCAACGGATAAAAAACATTAAGTTTCACAAATGTCAATAAAATAAATAAACTAAAAATAGATAAAATCAGAGCAAAATTAATGAAAACAAATAAATAACAGAATATAGAGAAATGCCATAGGTCCTGCCTCGATCTACAACTTTTGTATCGACACATTTTTCACATAACCTCAAAATTTATGTGAAAAATACGAATAACCGAGATTTTGGTTTTTGACTTTTTGCAAAAAAAAATATTTTTTCACGAAATTTGGTGAAAACTTACCTTTGTATGTCCCAAACATACAGTAATTTTTTGATTTAAAATATTCATTTTTTCACCTTATTTTGACTTAATATCGAAAAAGCACCCTTATTTTCAATCGAAAATTCTCACGTCAAAATATCTGTTTTTTTAAAAAAGTTGGGGTGGTTTTTGTTTGTTGAAATCTCTACTTTCTGATGGTATAAAAAAATATACACTACTATGGTAAATGTTCTCAGAAACTGCAAATTAATAATGAAAAAAACTCCAATCCGAAAAATTGATTTGAATCATTACGTATAATTTTGAACTATTTATTAAAATTTACACTTTAATTACTCGAAAAACGTAAGATTTCATGTTATATTGATAAACAGAAAAATTACAAATCCATAAAACATGCAAAAATAGTTGTTGTAAGTAGGTATTAAAAATAGGATTTTCGGGTTCGAGTTTTTTTCATTATTAATTTGCATTTTCTGAGAACATTTATCATAGTAGTGTATATTTTTTTTTATACCATCAGAAAGTAGAGATTTCAACAAACAAAAAACACCCCAACTTTTTTAAAAAAGAAGATATTTTGACGTGAGAATTTTCGATTGAAAATTAGGGTACTTTTTGGATATTAAGTCAAAATAAGGTGAAAAAATGAATATTTTAAATCAAAAAAATTACTGTATGTTTGGGACATACGAAGGTAAGTTTTCACCAAGTTTCGTGAAAAAATATTTTTTTTTGCAAAAAAATAAAAATCAAAAACCAAAAACTCGGTTATTCGCATTTTTCACATAAATTTTGAGGTTATGTGAAAAAAGTGTCGATACAAAAGTTGTAGATCTTTTTATTACCTACAACTTTGCCATTTAACTTTTTTTCATAGGACTTGCAGTTTCCGGAAATCGAGATTAACCATTTTTTACCCTTAAAAACTCACCCCTCCCCCTTCCCGACCTCAGATCGCCCGTAATTTATTTTTCCTTTCATTTTTGTTATATTCTCTACCTTTTCTAATGGGTTTCATCCTACTATATTTTTTTTTCACTTTTCACCATTTTTAAAATTGTCGACCCTGGTCTATAGTTCTGTCAACACAAGTCATATACTAATATAAAGTTGAGCTCTTCTAGTATGGTAACTCTTTTGACCGACTTCCAAGAAAGGAGGAGGTTGTCTAAATTATTAAAATCTGAACTGAATTTAGATATTGTTTCTGATAGAGCAATGGGGACAACGAGGTATGGTACAACCATTGATGCGGTATTTTCAAGATTCGTGAACCACGTATCTACGAACGTCCATGTGTCTTATTATTGTACGTAAAAGATTTAGTGACATAATTATCTTTTTATAAACATTTTTGTTAATTATTAAGATAATATTATATTTTAAATAAAAAAATAATTATATGTAAACTCCAGTCGTCCGTCGGAGCTGACACACACATTTTTTTCTACATTATATTTAAATAACCCGAACTTGATGGCGATATATTAAATTACGAGCATACAAGTTTATCTTGCTTATGCATAGCATAGTCAAGGTGTTTTGTATGTGCCAGCGGTCATCTGCTGTTCCTGAAAATCTTTGAATTATACCCATTTTTTAAGATATATTTTATCAACTCTTCAAGAATACCATTAAAAAAAGACATATTCATAGCCTTCTTCACCTTCATCAACGAAGAAAAAACGACAAATGACTTATCTGTATGGCTTTACCTTTGCCTTTCCAAAAGGGTGAACAAAATAAAAAAGCGGTAATCTAATCTGCTAACGAAGTGTGAGCGAGTAAAATTTAAAACTAAACAGCCACAGAACAAAAAAAAATGGGTGTGTGTACTTATGTAGGCGCGTGAGAAGTTATCCTTCTTTGGCATCGTTTAAAATTAGTTTTTAATTGCATGCAAATAATTAATTACAATAAATTTATAAAAAGTCTGGAAAAGGACACGGTCAATAAAGTTCAGTTTTAATTTGAAAAAATAAATAAATAATCAAAATATTCAATTAAAATCGCTACGGAATATAATTTATTAGAACATATGTGATTTGCACTTGTATGAAACTCAAACACGTAATCCGAATATACAAACTAGAAACATGTGGATAAATATTATAAATATGAATACCTATAACTGTTACTTTATTACAAAAAATAAAGATGTGGTTTTTGGTTCTACTACACCAATGGTCAAGAGATGGCGCTGTAGTCTCCTGAATCGCGCTTTGGTTCCGTTGTTCCAGATTAATAAATACTTTTGATATTATAATTATGAATACCTATAACTGTTACTTTATTACAAAAAATAAAGATGTGGTTTTTGGTTCTACTACACCTATGGTCAAGAGATGGCGCTGTAGTCTCCTGAATCGCGCTTTGGTTCCGTTGTTCCAGATTAATAAATACTTTTGATAGGCCTTCACAATGCAGTCGTTAGCACCCACTAAATAGAGATTCTATTTCTATTTTGTTGGTAGATTTTCTTAATGTGCGGTAAACACAAAAGTAACAGTTAAAATTTTGTGTTACAGTGATGCGCGCGCATCTTAAAATTTCACTCTCATCATTTTTTCATAACGCGCCTAAAGAAGTATAACTTCAAAAAAGTAATTATTATTTTGATTTGTTCATCCTACTACATATTATATCGTAAGTATTCTAAGATTTATTTGTAAAAAAAAGTATATTATGTTTTATTCTTTTTCATGTAAGAAGATCGCAGATTTATGGTCAATTTGGGTGAGGATGCTTTTTTTATGCATGACAATGCCCGACCTCATACAGGTTGGATAGTGAATACTTACTACCTTCAAGAGATGAACATTACTCTTATGGAGTGGCCAGCACGCAGTCCGGATATCAACCTGATCGAACATGCTTAGGACGAGCTAGGGAGATGCGTAAAACAACGAAACAATTACGCTTCATGAGCTCAAAATAAATTGCTCTCACTGCGGAATGTGAGAATATTCCCCAAAATCGTATAAGGAACTTGGTGAACAGCATGCCAAACCGGGTAAACGCAGTAAAACAGAAATTTGTTTTATTTCCTTATATCAAGCATATTTAAAAGAACTATTAGGTATGTATGTATCCCTCGAAAGAAAGTGCTAAGTATTCCTAATCTGGGTGTATTGAGACTCTACTCAAACTACACCCTCGATGGTATATCGGCCACTTTCTATCAAACAAAGTACTATATCATACATAATCTAAGTGTATTATGATATATTACTTTGTTTGATTAACTTCATTGAGAAACAGGTATAAAAATTGTTTAAATAAGCTGTACATTATAATCAGAAAACTAATAACGTTCAATTTGCAAAACGTTACGTTACAGCCAGCACGGAGCGGCGTTGGATATCAAAGACTTCAAAGGTTAAGTTTGTTCCAATATTTTCAATTTAGAGCTCACAGGAAAATTCCGCTCCTGATCGGTAACAATTACATCAATCTAGCCAGCCCGTGAATGGCGCCAAGTGCCAGCATATCATGGAAGTAGGGTTAGCAAATCCCCAAAACTATGAATAAAAAGTCCGTGATTTATTTTACTATTTACGTATGACTTCCACTGTTATCTGTTTTGATAGGCATTATAAAAAGACTCATAAAATATACATAAAAACTTCACGTGGTAGTCAATACTGACTGATTGTAAACATAGTACTGCCATGGGACTATGCCACCTGAGTTTTAAAGCTAATCTAATATTTATAGATAAAAGATGACCAACAACTCTATCTAGTAAGAGCACGAAAATATCAAGAATAATGTAACAAATTCTATTAAAGTGATTAAAAAATTCTTTAAAAAGATGACAGTATGACTTATAACAGTATGGTGTGCACGGACATAAAAGATACAGTCAAGTATCTATTTATATTTTAAGGTACGCGTTTTATAATAATTGTGATTTATTCGTAAGGCATTCCGTGGATCTAAGTTGTTATATACTTATCCAGAAATTCCAAGTTTTTGATTACAACAGTTTCGTTACAATATCGATAATATTTTCATCCATTTCAGTATGAATGGGAAAGTTTACTTTTTTGTATTTAATTTGCTCTTAGATCAGGGTTTAAGATTTTATTAATTGTTTTTTTTTATATTACATTTCTTTTCTTTTTCTTTCTTGAAATGTTTATCGTATCAAATTGTTAAATTAAGTTATTTCAAGATGTCGTTTGTAAAACTATGACTATGTTGAGAATTATATTATCTAAATATATAAAAGAAAAAACTGTCTGAGTGAGTGACTGACTGACTGCCATATCAATACACAGCCCAAACCGCTGGGTCTAGAGACTCCAGGCACGTATGATCCTTCTTAGGTCTAGGTGGTAGGTGCACTAAGAAAGGATTTTTCAAAATTCACCCCCAAAGGGTATAACATAGGGGGTGAAATTTGGTACACTTATAGTTTATGGCTTGGAATGAGACATAGGATACTTTTATACTGGAAAAGTATTAGGTTTTTGTGGGATTCTCGTAACTAAAGTTAACGCGGACGAAGTCACGGGCGTTTATATGAGCAAAAAAGGTTTTTGTAATTTTTTCATGCAATACTAGAAAGATCACCAAACGTGACAACCCTGAACAATAACAATACATAAAAACATATTCGCATTCAACTATCATTAATATAAAGACAATTATTTTGATGTTTAAGAAAAAAGAATGAAATATGAGTGATTTTGCTTTTGCAAAACTAAGAAAGGAATAAAAATAAATTATTAATTTCTGTGAATATTTAAATCTTGTATGTTGTCTCGTGTCAAAATTACTGACAAAATAAAATATGAACCCGCCGCCTGTTTCCTACCTCACTTATGCATTTATGTGGGCGTTCTAAAGACGCTCTAATTCTAAAAAACAAAGGGTATTTCGCCCAAAGAGTAACATTTGCACAATACATATAACTCGCCAAGAAAGTGCACAGAAACAATTGTAACTAACTTTTGCATAACATAGAGAAGCTACATTCACTGACCTTATCAAATATGAACTTTGGTCGATTACATTATTGATTACCGGTCCGCGCCGTTATTAATGATTTAACATTATCGAAGCTCAATCATTTCAATTTCAATCAGGGCTGTGAGCCAGAAGCCCCCACAACAGAGATAAAAAAACAATCTTCGGTGGGTCACCAACCCAGGGGGATGCAAATCGTAGGTGGTCCGGTGGAGATTTCGGTGACTCCTTCGTTGCCCCAGGGTCCCTACACCTCTAATTCCAGCCCTGATCTCAATAATGGAGGAATAAATTAATGGGTTTTCATGATTAATAATGTAAGGGTCTAAAATTTTATACATTTTTGTTTATTTTCTTAAGTCTGCAATGCGATGCAAGTTTTAAAAAGTTATGAATAATTTAACCTATTAAAGTAATATGTTGTATTACACAATTGCTATCACTAATGGATAAAAGCGCTGATTTTTTTAGATATTTAAATAAAGTCACACCCATATTCAGGACTTAGGACTACGAACAACAATTATTATGACGTTATTGCATGTGTTTCTAAATGCCGAAGTAGGTATACAATTATTTTTGTGTCTAGACTCTTTATTAACTGAATAGATTTTGATTCAAGTACGTATTTGTTGAAATATAATATGCTTGCTGGAGGTCAGTGACGTCAATGCTTAATAGAAAGTCGACGGACGCGCCGCGCCGACCGCCAGCGCTGCGTGCGCGCCGTCATGTAGCGCGAACGAAGGTGTGGCGCGCGCGCCCACGAACCGATAACGCAAATAGAATTTCAGTCGCCAACGCAATTTGTACAGCCGAGCCCACATTAGCGTCTGCAATATGGCAATAACACATAGATGCCTTTGATACAAATAAATAAGAGTAGATTGGACGTAGACAAAGCTAGAAAGCTGTGGCTGTCGTAGACTAGCCAGTCTATTCACTGATGTCGTATCTTTGTCTATACTTCAGAAAAGAATGTAATCTTTAAACTGTTTGTAAAGGATAAATAAATCTGTCCTTTTGTTTGACTTCAAAGACGAAAATCGACTCGATATGAAAGAACATTGTAAAAAAATCTTTACCTCTGCCAAAACTATATCTGACTCTATCATTATATGATAATATCCTATCACATGACATTCATTACCTTTACAGTATTTTATATCATGCATTATTATATCTCAAAATAAAATAATGACGATATCCACCCGAACAGAAATTCTGTTCTGTGCTACATCGACATCAACCCTGAGCAATTCCCTTTCTATAATTAAAGAACCTATCCCAATGATTAGGTAACCATTATATAATTGTATTTATTTTTAGTACGCAGTGGCATATAAAATTATTTGCCACTGCCAAGAATTTCTTGTTTGTTGGCATGAGTCCGCGGGTGTGTCTTGTGTGCGTGAGGGCAGCCATGCCCCCAGCTCTCCGCAAACAGCTAATGAAATAACGCCATGTTGCGTCATCCTTTATTTTCACCAGAAACGATTAGTAACACACACTTACAGAAATTCAGGATGGTAACCGTGACTCGCTATTCGACTGATGTAACATGTTTTATCATTATTCAATTTTGGCATAATTAGCGGTGGAACTAATTGCCGTTCTGTTATTTCGATGGTTTGTTATTTCCATGATAATTCATGCAAGACGATATTTGTTTAGAAATGTATCATCGCCATATGTATGTATATATTTAACAAGTTTTTTTTTGAAATATAAAATTTATGAAATGGTGATTAATTTATTATTTTCATTTAATATTTAGTACTTATCGTTATGTATTTATTAATAAATCCGTGTTTTGTTCCGGTCGACTTGACTTAGTGTAGAGAACCATAATAATATAATATTGTCTGCAATCCTAGGGAAATAGGGATTTTTATTTTTTTTATTTTTTATTTGTATACCTATATTTGTATAGCTATATACAAATTAATCCCAATTTCCCTTGGTCATTTATTTACTTTAGAAAAACTTTACCGGTCCTCCATCTTTTCTTTAAGTTTTCTAATAGTCTGTATTTGTAGAAGGTTCTCACGGAAAAAGATAAAAATTAGAGCAGAAATTTAAAAAATGTAAGAAAACTTAAACATCAACTCTAGTAGCTCGCCAATGGGGATCTTATGCCGGGTTTAAGAATTTATTAAACATTTTTATTGGTCAAGAGGTCTATCGGGTGCACTAGTAGATATTTTAACAAATTATAAATAAATTGGTGTTCAGAGGTTTTTCGAAAATCAAAATATTACTTTGTAATGTGTGTTTAACCTACTTATATGTTTTTTTACAAATTTGCAAGTAAGTGCTTGTGTACTCACGAATATGTATTGTTTTTGTTACAATTAAAAGGATAAAAAAACAGTTATTATATGTGTAATGCCAGTGGCCGAAAGATATGGTCATAGTTATAAATAATGAACTTATACTGTAACCTGCAATAAATATATTTGTTTCGAGGAAAAAGTATTTCCAAATAGGTATGAAAATAATAATAAAATTCTATGAATACCCTGGCAATCTGACGCACACGCACTCGGTGTTGGCGAGCTCTGATTGGCTGAATCAACCAAGCCCCCTCGCGTCACGGACGCCGGTTCACGGAACACAACTCGTGACTTGACCATAACGAACTTGACGATAAGGCACACTTCTTTTATTTTATGCCTGTTGTTATGATAAATTCAGTAGAGGACGCATACGTTTTAGTTTAGCAGTAGTATGACGTAGGTAACCACAATTTATACCTGTTTCTCCTCGATACTATTATTGTTATAGTACAAAACATACCTGTCTTTAAATGGCTTAAATACATACTTAGTTAAATTAGGTTTGCGCACTCAAGTAGGTATTATGAATGAATACAAAACCGAAATTAATTGTGATTATTACAAGTCATATTTATTAGCTTAGCTTTTGTTTTCTTTTAATGAAAAGATACGCTCAAAGGAGATTTTGATCATTTTTCCTGTATTTCCCTAATGTTCGATCATTGAGGTTCTACATAGTTACGTATTAAAAAATACCCCCAATGTCAACATTAGTTAACTTACCTAAATACATTTTTAATTTGACATTAACGTTTCAAAAATTAAATGCTTACACAACTTAATGTAAATTTACCAAACGGCACGTGATTAAAACGACCACATGAGTAACTTGTTATTAGCAAACATTAATTTATCCTTGATGTAATGTTTTGTTCTCATACACGTTGAACTTTAATTTCGCCTTATCGGTAAGTCTTATTAGCTTCGATTAGTTACAGAATAACATGTAAACGACCTCAGTAAATGCAAAAGAACAAAAATGAGCAAATAAGATTGTCTTGTGACTTGGTATCTTTAATTACCTACGTCATTTTGAACTCTTGCCAATGATAAGTATAAATCCAAAAATATATGTCCTAAAATTAAATTTATTCATACCAAGCATTTATACGTCATACTTACTATGTCTGTCTTTAGCATTTCATTGCAAGAATTTATAACTAAAGAAAATTTACTTCACTTAAGGTAAAATATTGTGCGATTTAGCCAGATTTTTGTTTTTTTCAAGATGAAAAGGTTCAAGTATTACTGTGCAAAAAAACTACTTGAAAAATATATACTTTACGTTTGGAATTAAAGAAATAAAAACCAGAACAATAACTTTAACGACTGTATGTAAATTAACGTACCTACATATTTAAGTACAGTACAGTGAACAAGTTGTTTAAACTTGAGGATAAACTAAAATATAAAACAACTAACTTCACTGCCAAAGTGCATTATTTCTAACTTTTTTGTGATTTTTTTAATAAAGTCGGCTTCTATTTTTGTTAAAAAGTTTTTTTTATCAGCATGACGAAATTATGGAGTCATTTTCAA